CAAACAAGAGATTTGGTTCAAGTTCATTTGGTGCAAGCTAAAGCGAGAGTTGCACCCAGTGGAAAGAAAAAGACAACAATAGCTCGATTGGAACTTGGAGCTACAATATGTACACGTTTAGCATCCAGCATACCTGAATTTCAAACTGATGATATTTATTTTTGGACAGATTCATCTACTGTGCTAGCTTGGATACAGAGAAATGAAGAATGGGACGTATTTGTTCACAACAGAATTAATGAAATAAAGCGACTGACTTCTATTGAATCTTGGAGGCACGTACCAGGATCACTGAATCCTGCTGATTTGCCCAGTAGAGGATGCTCTGCTTCTTATTTAATTAAATCCAGATGGTGGGAAGGCCCTAAATGGCTATATTTATCACCAGAAAAATGGCCAAAAGAAGATTTTAGTGCTGATGAAGAAAAAATAGCTCTTGAGAAAAAGAAAAGGATTATTTCGTCCTTAATAAATCTTAATGCTAGTGAAATAGTTGCTACTAGATTCTCAAGTTATCGTAAGACAATCAGACTGGTAGCGTGGATGTGTCGTTTTGTTTACAACTGTAAACATCAAAACAAGAAAAAGGATGAACTTACTGTATCTGAGTTAAATGAAGCTGAGAATATCTTGATTCGTTTAATACAAAATGAGTCCTTTAATGGAATAGAAGATAAACAGATTTTTAAGTCTTAATCCATTCATTGATTGTGGTATCATCAGAACTAAAACAGCGATATTTCAAAGAGAAGATACATCTGAGCTCAGAACTCCTGCTATTTTGCCAAGTGATCATCCTTTTATAAGAAGTTTAATAATGGAAGAACATAAGTTGAAAGGACATGTTGGAGTTTCTTATGTCCTAAATTCCTTGGGAGAAAGATTTTGGATATTAGCAGGAAGAAGAGTTGTGTCATCCATTTTAAAAACAACAAGCAAAAAATTCTCTAGAAGTTGTAAATTAAAAGACGGAGACATTGTCTTAATTGGAAGCGATGACAAAAGGAGATTAAATTGGCCTCTTGGTAAAATCATACAATTATATCCAGGTACCGACGGTGAAAGTCGATGAGCCAGAATTAAAGTGCAAAATGGAGAAGCTGTACAAAATCTTTATCCTTTGGAGTTATCGACTGCTGTGGAACTTCCATTGAAATTCAGCGGAAGTCAACCATGTGAAAATATTTTGGTAGAGCAAACTCCAATTGATGATGTACCTGTAGAAACAAATAGAATAATCCATACCCATTTAAAATTGCCCACGATAACCAAATCAGGAAGGACAATTAGAGTTCCTCATCGACTGGACTTGTGAGAACAATGTTTAATTTTTTATTATTTTGCAATACTCAATCCCGAATTTCATATTGCAAGGTGGGAGGATGAACAATATTTTGACTCTAATATTTTTGTTTATATTTTTTTTCTAACTGCAGCTTCTGAGTAATATTGCATGAGCTTCAAGCAGATGTATTCGTTTTCTTACTCTATAGATTTTTTTTCATTATCTATTCATATTATTATTATCTATGTTTTGTAACAGTTTATGTTTCAGAGAATGGCAACATACTATGTTGTTGTTCTTTTTAGAGAGTTAGTGTAACTTTTGTTTTCATCATTTGCAAGTATGAGTAAAGGAATTATTTAATTATTGTAGAGTCATAAATAACTAAAAAGATATAGATAGTTATTTCCAAGTAATAAATAGTTCTTGAGATAACAAATTTAGTGAGAATTTTTTAACATTGACTGTAACAAACCATCACTTCATCTGAGGCGTGAGCAGTTGTCCCTTTTGCAGTATTTTAATATTTTATCGCAACCTGAACATCCTAATAAGCTGTGCTTACTTGATAATGTATGTAACACTTTATTTGAAACACGTCCATCCTGTGTACCTACCTTTCCTTTAAGAATTCACCCTGTCATTGAGGAAATCTCTCTCTCTGATATGTGCCTCTAAGCAGTGCAGAATTTTGAAATCCCACTTGGAGAAAATGCACAGATCCAGCTTCTTGATGTTTTCGACCATCATGTGAAGGCAAGTACTAACGACATCATTTACAGACAACTCTTTATTGAGCACATGCATAAATATAGCAGTTATCTTCCAGTATACACAGAATGAATTCAAGTTAAATGTACATAATAGGATGGCATTTGTAATTGAAGATCACATAGAGGGTAGACATTTGCAAGACGTCTTTACATCTGAACTAACTGCAATATATTATGGTCTTGTGTACATCTCAAAGCTCTACCACAAGAAGTTCATATTGTATACTGACTCGTATAGTGCACTGAAAGCATTAGAAGCTTTTTCTGACACTCAGAATGCTGTAATAGTAGATGTTCTCAAGATACATACATATAACCTTAACGACTCACTGCTGGGTTCCCGGACATGCAGGAATAAAGGGAAATGAGCTGGCAGATATCACGCCGAAATCTGCTGTTGAAGTGTCCAGTCGCCTCATCCCTTTTAGAGATATCTTTTATGTCATCAAAGAAAAGATCCGAAAGAAATGGCAGCAACTTTGGGACGTTCAGCTTTACAGAAAGTTGAGAAGAAGTGTAAAGCCTAGAATTGAGCATTAGGATTTTAATAGAAATCATAAGGAGGAAGTTCGGTTAGAGTAGAGAGAAGGGTACCCCTTGTATTATCGCAAAGTTATTTCATTTATTGCCAAGCTGTTGTTTCATTTATCGCCAAGAGGTGGTTTATTTATGGTAGCCTGAGTAGTTGAATGTTATAGAAACCCTATTAGGACGTAATCAGTTGAATGGTTGCGGTGAATTTGTAAGGGCTTGTCATGTGTGTTGGTTAGGATGTATGTACATTGCTTGTTTTCTGGTTTAGACGGTAAAATGGCTGAATGTGGTAAGATTAATTTAAAGTTTCTGTAAGATTTGGAAAGAAAGGGGAAAAAGGAAGACCTGACTTGTGTGTAAATGAAGGTTTACTTGGTAGCCATTATTAAGTGTCCTGTTTGTAGGAAGGAAATGCGTATGGTCAGATGATATGGCACTGCGGAGGATATTTTTGACTCTTATTTTGTGAATTTATGTGGTGACGCCAGTATACAGATTCTAGTTCAGATAATTTTAGGAAGTTTTTGGATGCTGTTAAGGAATTTTGTTTGACTGAAGACGGGTTAATTCGTAAATAAGGTAAGTGGATGTTTCCTTTGTGTAGTGCAAAGTTCAATTTCCTTTATTATGTTATTTCATTGTTTGATTTAAAATGTAATTTATTGAGATTATATATTTTTTGTTGGCTGCTCCTTTGACTTTTTAACTGAATATATTTCTATGTGTACATGGACAAAGTCAAGGGAGTGTGCAACACCTAGTTTGTGTAATTCTCTGATTTTTTTTAAGTGAAAATAGGTCGATGTGTACATGGATAGTCATAGGAGTGCACAAGGCCAAGTTTGTGGAATTTTGGGATTTTTTTTTAAATGATAATAGATGTATGTTTACATGGGTACTGAGTTTGTGCAATTCTTTGTGTTGTTATTTTGGCATTCTGTGGCTGCGATTTTTAGAACAAAAATCGCCACTACACAAGCCAGAATAACAAGTCAAAGAATTGCACAAACTTGATATCCATGTACCGCCAAAAATCGCCAAGTTTCGCCAAGGGGTGCCTGTAAATATAGTTTTACAGGAAGTTCTTGTTGGCTGATCTCAGGATTGGTTGGACTAGAGTGACACATAACTACCTTCTGAAAGCTGAGAATGAGCAAGCATATTTGTTTAAATTTAAAGTTTGTCTATCTGTTGGTCATATTTTAATTGAATATCCAGATTTTAATAATCTTTTTCAAAAATATTTTAAAAGCTGAGACTTACCTCTCAACCATTTAATTGGAAAGGTGGTCAATTGTAATTAATGTGATTATTTAAAAGAAACTGGCATTTATTACCTAATTTAATTTCATGTGAAGATTGTGTATTGTATTTTAATGTTTAACACTTGTGTGCTTTTACCTTGTTTTTATATGACTTCATCCTCTGGATTTGGAACATTTGTCTTCATTCTTGTTCTATTTATTAATAATTTGTTTTGAGGTCATCAAATTAGATCCTACTATCTCTCATTTGGCACGTCAAAATCATCTTGGGTTTTGCGCCAATAATCTGACTCATTCAGTTCAGTTTAATGTCAATGAATTACTAGGCTAATTAGGTAGGACAATAACCTTTTAGTTATAATGTAATCTCTTTTAAATATGTAATTCTTTCATTCTTTTGATTTATTCTCTGTGAATGATTTGTTTTTGTGTCTTATTTTCTGATTGTTGTGGTTAGAAATCATAAATCTTTCTGGAGAAAAAGAGCGTTTTGCTCTAATACATCTGGTATTTTTTTAAACCACTAGATCTATATTTCAAATCCATATGTCACATCTAACTATCTATAAGTATATCCCATAGAAAACTGAGAGGGAAAAAAATGTGCAGTTTGCATAAAATATCATCCATCTTTATTGTGTCAGAACTGGCTCTTAAGTGATTTAATTGGACACTTAAAAATTGGAAGCATTGTTTGAATACTAAAGTGTCTGAACTTGAATATTGAAGATATAAACTTCTGAAAACACTGAAAATTGCAAGTAAACAAAATGAAAACTTGCTAATATACTGTGGCAGGAATGATATAAGAAACCTAGAAATTGTAAAAGGAAAATTTTGTTATAGCTGTTAGAATAAGAGTGTAAGATGGGTAGTAGAGATGTTTTTTTTCTCCTCTGTTTAACAACTCTCTATTAAGTACTAGTAATGAAATTAACACTTTAGAAACAATATGCTATCATTTGATTGCATTATCAAAATGTATTGTAGATGTAGAAAAGACAGATGGTGTTTTAGTTCTTTTTTTACCAATCATCTTACGTTTAGCCTCAGCTGAAACTTAGTTTACATAATTGTTTCATTTTCATCTTATGTATTGTTATGTATGCAATTATTACAGCTGTATTTCTTCTCCTTATTTAGAATTCTGCACTGAGTGGCCAAGAGGATTAGAAACAGATGAAGATTACCATGAGCACTTTCCTGTGGAAATAATAACTAGTGATTATTGCCATTCAAGCCCTGTTATACGAGATGAACGCTCACGAATAGTTACGCTTAAGGTAAATTTTTGTTTTGCTAAAAATATGTGAAAAAAAAAGACTTGCTTGTGTAATCAATGACTTTAAAATAATGAAATGTAATTATGAATAAACTGTTCATTTTTCAAGTTTATTGAAAAAATAGTTAATTTAATGAAACTGGTTATTAATTAACTTCATAAATAAAATTTGCTAAATCATTGCATTCTGTCTTTTTTAATAATATGTGTTTTAGAAGTGGCTATACAGATGGTAAATTCAAAATAATTTCAGCTGTGATGATTATGTTAAATCCCATTTAGAGGAAATACATTTGGTTTCGTGCAGTGTTATATTTTTCTCAAAACCAGTATTCCTACTTGTATGGGTATTTTGATGGAGATAAGATATGTTTCTTTTCATGAAATTGCTTGGATAATCCTTTTACAATCAAGCTCAGACTTCTGCAGAAGTACGTATAGAACATATTTGTGAAGATTTTCATAAAAACGCTGGAGAGAAAGCTTTTCAAGACAGAAGAACATATATATATATATATATATATATATATGGGAAGCTGAAGAAAGTATGTAAAATGTCATCAGCTGCAAACAGTAGAGTAGTTAGTGGCATTGATACTGGTGGGTCTGGTTTCAAATCCTGGAGAAGGCTTAGATGTTTGTAAATGTATAGTGTCTGAACTGTGTCAGGACTAATATACAGGTAATCGAAAGTTTCCTCTTGTGGTTTGATAAGGGAAGAGGCTTGGGAAATCCTTAGACTTGTCCCTCATAGTGCTATCCTTCAGAACTAGGATGGAATTGGGTGAAGTTGTATTTTTACCTGTATGGTGCTCAAGGCTCATGCCAATGATAGGTTGCACTCCTTGCTGCAATAAAATTTGTGGGTTTGCAAGCGAGATCAACCACAACAATAACAAAATATCATCAGTTGTAAGTAATTGTTGCTATAAAATCTTATTTCACTTAAGCACTTATCCCAATTATTTGAAGTTCACTAAAATCAAAATAATAATAATGTTGTGTAAGATATTACTATACATTTTGCAGGGCTATAAATTTTCCAAATGAATTGCATCACAAATGAGCGAATCAGGCCTTTAATTATAAAAAATATTTCATGTTAAGATGTTTATTTTCCCTTAATTAGCAATATGTGTAACAATGGCATCCAGGCATATAATTTGTATGTAAAATATTTCAACTCTCTCTCTCTTTTAATAAGAACAGTTTTGAAAAATATATAATGTAGATTGAAAACAAGCATGCACATACTGGCATTTCTTCAACACTATGTTTATTAGCACTGCATGCCAGCATGATATTCTGTGTTGTAGTTGATCTTTCCGATTCCTTATAATTCTTTGCAATTTTAGAATGGCTTCTGACAGTTTTTCAGGTAGTTTCTAGCTTAATAGTTTTTGAAATTCACTTAGCTGAATTTTTAAAACAGTGGGAGAAACTATTGAAATTAGTCATTATCTGCTTAGCTATCTGCAGCTATTTGCTTAGCATTAGCTATCTGCAGTGAAGAATGCATGAATGTTTCATTGGCAGAAACTTCTAGAATGTATTTTTTTCTGCTGTAGTAACTTGAAGTCATATATTCTGTAGCTAGATCATGATTATAACTGTTGGTAAGAGTAAATTCTCATTGAGTGTTTTGCAAGCATTCTAAATACGAGGATATACTGCAGTATTTACAATTAGCAAATTTTTATTTATTTTAGTAATGATCACTTTTCATCATCAGTCGTAAGTAATTTTTACTTTTGCTAGTATTTGAAATGTTAAAACAGTAAAACAATGTTGTATTATCCATTATTTTCTAAAAAACCTGGTAAGTTCATATGATTTTACTTAGAGATCCACTTAGTTTGTTGAAGTAGAGTAAGCCAATTTCAGTTACACTATTATTCATAAAATCTCTCTAATTCTGGAACTTATATATCTGTTCTTCTGCATTGAGACCATCAATTCCTTTTTATAGGAGTTCTTAGAAAATTAAAATTCAGCCTATATTTCTGCACGAAAATCAGTCAAGTACTAAATATCGGTACTTATGTATTATTGCAACCACCGCAGTAAAAATCACCAAAGTTTCAGAATACACCTAATTCTTGTAATCAGATGCATAACAATTATTAAGGCAACCATGTACATGACAAATATTCAGTTCTAATGTTGCCCCCCTTTTTTTTCTTTTTCTTTTTTGTCCAATTTTTTCTAGAAAAATTATGATTTTTATCTGGAACTCTATTTTAAAATTTATGCTTCTGAGACTTTCCTACAGTAGAAGAAACAAACGTGCAATTTTTGCGGAAATACAGTATTTTTTATTTATTTATTTATTTTTTTGCAATATTGCTAGAGGCTTCGAAACATCAAAGCAATGGCTACGAAATTTCCAACACAAGAAAAACAAAACTCCACTTGTATCTAGCTTTATTGACTTTTTTTTTAAGAATATATATGTAATTGAAAAGTAAATTAGTGTTTAATTAAATGTTTACTATACAAATATTATTCTTTTTCATCCGTGAAATGCACCAAACTACCCCAAGGAGGTTGCGATAATACCGAGTACCAAAAATATCGTACCCGAAATTAGATGCTGCACTCTATCGTTTAGAACTACTTTACAAATAATACATTCCTTAACTTCTATTCCTTAACTTAACTTCTATTTATAGTTAAGAAATAATTAAATTTATCTTTTAACAAAGGATTGTCCTAGTTAATTAATGGCTTTATGAAATGTAATTAATTCGATTGAGAATGATAATGCTTTACAACTAAAAGTTTGTTAATTAGTTACACCATGTAGTAATGTGAATTACTTTTGCTTTTTTTTTAGTGTTTCTATGTGTAATTGGGCATGCTAGGAAATGAGATGTATATAATCTTTTAGATATGTAAGTGTTTTATATTGGATGCTTCAGTGTCGTAGAATGGATACCCCTGGTTTATTTTTATAAAAATTGGATATATACTGTAATTAGCATTTCAAATTATGCAGATCTGGTTAATTACAAATATAAAATTGAAATGAGGGGAAAATGTCATTATTAAATTACCGATGCAAAACTTTGATACTTCCGTAAGCTAGTATTGTAGCTTTCCAAGAATCATGAAAGTTAAGGAGAGAAGACACAGGAAGAGAAAATATCACTTTTCTTCAGTAAAGAAAATTTAACTTTTCTTAAAAAATTAAACAAATGTTACATTAATGCTTGAACATAACTCATACACTTTCAAGAAACTGTTACGGAAAGACATTAAAAATTGCTTTTAATTGTAATATGTTAGGCATATATCTCTGTGGTTGATAACAAGATGTCTTGTTCATGAACTACTCACTTGTTGTCAAAATAACTTTGACATATCTGCAAATATATATATATACCCAAAGATGTTCCAGTTTATTAAAAAAATTAACAATCTCAGCTGATTAGTTAATTAAACATCTCTTAATTATGTCAAAAACATTTTGAATAGATGTAAATGTTTGTTTCTCTGAGGGAAAAGAAACTTTTCATATATTTTTCTCAAATCAGTGTAACCTTATAAATAGGAAAATGCTTCTTATATCAGTTATTTCTCATGCAGAGACTATGCATTAGGTTATCTGTTTCAATTGAAAGAATTCTGAAATTCATTAGTTTAACACATCATTGTATTGTGTTATCTGGCAACTTATTGAATGCTCTTCACTGTAAATCATTTTCATCAGTCCAGTCCATTTAGAGACTTTATGAGCTGTTGCTTACAAGTTATGTGGAAGTTCAGTTATGTGAACAAACAAACATGATAGTACTGGAAATATTAATTTCTTGAGATGATGAGAAGAAATGAGTGCTTTCAAGACATAGACTAGCTATTTCTCAAACTTATTTTCATAATCACCTGAAAAATAAAATATTGCAATTCATTGTTGAGAAAACTGTACCATTCCTAGCTACTAGATACTTATCTTTAAGCTTATGAGTTAAGTTACTCATCCAGTTAAGTCCATTTTAAATTTAGCAATAACAGATATCTAGTCTAAGTTAGTGTACAATAGCGTAAAGTATTAAGAAAAAAATGAACAAACTATTCTACTTATTTTAATCCAGTCTGCTAGGGTACTTACTTTTAAAAGATTTCATGGTTGATTTTTTTTTTTTTTTTTTTTTCAAAATTATCTTGAGATGGATTTTGTTTAAATGTTTTATGGTTGATGTTTGATTTTTATGCTAAAACTATGCTTTTCAAATTCTTATGCTCTTTAATATTGACATTTAATTTGGGGTGTTTTATAAATGGGTTACTACTTTTAGCCGTGTACATAGAGCAGTATTTAAAATTTTTGTTTATAAAATTTTTAGACAATTTCTTTAGCTAAATTTTGTCTTTTCTCTTGTAGATCAAATTAAGAAGTTTAAAATTGGACTACCATGGTCGAGATAAATTGATACGATTGATAGGAAATGAGCGATATGACAAAAATACTGACACTGTAACAATTGTGGCAGATCGATGCCCTCTCAAAAAACAGAATTATGACTATTTAATCTACTTGTTAACTGCAATCCATCATGAATCGTGGATTACTGAACCATGGGAACATGAGAAAACTGAGGCAGATATGGAAAAATTTTTCTTTGAAGGAAGTCGAATTGAAAAACATATTGTAGACACAATTGCCCAAGTCACATGTGGATCAGCATCCGAACAAGTAAGTATAAATTAAGTAGAATGAGCTAATATTTCTATGTACTATACATGTCATGTTTACTGATGTCCTTACTTGACCTTAACATTTGCAGTCATTGGTCTATAGGTGGCCGACCGGCCGCCGAGCAGTTAAGTCGCTGAACACTGGCAGTTTGATCCAGGTTTCGAATCTTGGTGATCAGGCTGGCTGCATGGGTGTTTTTCCCCATGCGTAAGGTGTATATGTCAGATTCCTTTAAAAAGTCTTCCTTTTAGACTATTGGATGGGCTAAAGCAAGAAGAACCAGTGTAATTCTTCATAATTTTTCAGGATTAGTTTTGAGGGTTTAAGTGTAGAACCTTCTTTAAATGTAGAATACTCTATGTTTGAAACTAGTTATGTAAATTCATAAGTATTGTGATGATTCTTTTCCCTTAGCACCTTCAGTAACCATTATTCAGGTGTCAACTAGTTACAGGAATGTTTAATATGGCCCTAACAGTCAATTTTGCACTTTGAAATTAAAAAATAGTCAGTTTCATAAAAATTATGAAATCTTTCGGTAGTCTTTTGGTACCCATACTTATATTTAAAAAAATTTACTCTCTTTATGAAAAATAAAACTAAAATGTTTAACTCGCAACAAAAAATTGCTTAAATATTTAATTTCAAATTTTAAGATATTTGACTCATATGAGGAGTTAGTCAATAAGTAAATTATAATCATTTGAGGTTGATTACAGTGCTCATTTATAATTTGTTAGTGTGTGGCATTCTTAATAATTTTGTTGCAAATAGTATGCTAAAAGGATTTTCACGCAAGTAATTTATAAGTTTTCAAATTCAGTAAATACATGATTAGTATGAATGTTTCTCATGAAGTTTTATTACTTCACAATCTAATCCTCATGTAAAAATAATACATTAACCCTTTAAAGGGCACTAGTGTATAAAATATACTGGATGTTTGTCAGTTTTTTAACTTCCTAAAAAATTCTATTTTTACTACACCAAAAGCTATAATCATAAGTTTCTAGTGTTTCCTTTTGATTCTAAATGGCAGCACTACCCTATGAATGCTCAATATTTTTCAGTTATGCAATTAATATGTCTCTCTCCAAGGTATCCTGTTTTAAGATTCATAAGTTCTATTGGAGGGGAAGAAAAAATTTAAAATCTACAAACATACGGCATACACATGCTGAGCTTTATATATTTACTGTATTTCAGTCAGAACTGATAATTAAAAGAAAATTATTTATACAATTTTAAGACTAGTACCTAAAATATACCAGTACCCATACTGAGGATACTACACCAATTGATGGCAGCACCAGGCTTCTTCTGTACTCTGTGGGATGACAAAATTTCTTTATATTATAATTTTTTTGATGTAATAATTAGTTGTTTATGGTTAATTTACAAGTTGTTTAGGATTAAGTATTATGTTTATGGGAGATGGAGAGTTTACTGACCATGTGCTAAGAATGAATAAAAGTATTTTAGTTTCTTTTCATTCTTTCCTTATTCCAGTTGAGTTTCTCATTCATCTCTGTTTAGCTAAAGTTTTAATTTCACCACTTCATCCTTTCCCCAGAGAAAAACTCATCAATTTCAAAATTGTCATCTGGCATCAAAATATTTTACATTGTAGGAGTTAAATGGGGCATATTAGCCCCGAAAGGCACCCATCACTTCATGTTTTCTAAAACTCTAGAATGCTCCAAAAAGGATAAGAAATGATAGTTAATTTGAAAATTCAGGGGTCACGTGATCTTCACAATGATGCTGTGATAAGATCACATGAAAGAAAAGCTCACTTGCAAGCACAGGAAAATGAAATGCACTTTTGGTCCATCTTTTAGTGGAATGGAAAAACTGCTGATTTGAAATCATGCTTTTATGCTTTAGAGTATGATCTTCATCAGTTTTAGATGAGAGACTAGAGAACACAAGAGAAATTTTCCCCCTGGTTTAGGATACAAGTAGGTGGTTTTCAAAATAAGTCTTCAGTTGGTGAAAGAAGGGAAAATATTTCAAAAGCCAGTTTTAGATGCAAGACATTTATTTTTGGAAGGAAAAAAAAAAGAGGCAAATATTTCAGTTTTTTTTGAACGGTAAAGTTTTATAAGAAAATTCCTAAAAGAGGATTTACTTTGGAGGAAGCACCTACTCTGTTTGAAGAGCTTCCTTTTGATGGATCCGATATCGTTGTGTCTAATACTTCTGATGAAGAGTATTCAGCAGAAAGTGAAGAGGAGGTGTATGTCTTGTATGAGTCAGGCTTAGATGAGAATCAAAATCATGCTAATAATATACAAAAGACATGCCCTTCTCATGTGCTAGAAATAATGTGGATAAAAAAAGGTGATAATGAATTCGGAATTTTAGAAGAAAGAGGCTATTGGCTGAAATTTTGTTTATGTTGAAGATAAATTCTCTATTGCACTATTTCTGTTTTTATTTGACATGGCATTGATGGCAAGGATAGTTTCCCAGACGAATTTATATGCAACACAAAAGGACAAACTTATTAACAGTTTAAATTTATCTGAACTGATAAAATTCTTAAGAATAACTTTATTGATAGGAATAAAGAGGATCTACAATTGCAGGAATTAATGGTCCTTTGCACCAGAAATGCATGATGCCTATAGTTATTATTATTATTATTTGTTTCATTATACATTTCATTTTAAAACTATATAAAATTTTTAAAAATTGTCTGTGGTAATATTAACAAAATAGTATAACCTGTGTTTGGTGAAAAAAGTTTGAAATGTGTTTCCACAGGACTCATGGGCCTAATAATCTAAAAAAAAAGCCCCTTGAGGTGTCTTAGTAGTTTTTTAAAGAGATGTTCTTCCCAGGCAATTTTATATATTACTACCTTATTTATCAAAAAGTTTAAAAGGTTTAAAGGGAGGTGAAGGGGGCTAAAAATCAAACTAAGGGCTTTGAGGTGTGTCAAATAATGAATCACTTAACGACTTTTCTTCCTGAACAAAATGATATATTACAACTTACATTTACAAAAAATTAAGAAGGGCCCCTTACAGGGCCCGATAATCAAAAGTATGTGTGCAGGAGGAGGATTTTTGTATCATAGCAAGAAGCATGCCCTTTTTGTATATGATCTAAAGCATAAAATGTAATAACTTCAAAAACGCAACTTTAATTTTTCAATTTAAAATTTTTGCCTGAGTTACATCTCCTTGTAACATTACGCTAGTTCAGTGACAGCATGATACAGTTTATGCATGCAGTTCTATATTTGCTAAATTTTTCATGAAATAATAATATTAAATTTAAATTGCTTTCAAAAACTTTTATCCATATTTTATATGAGTATATTCAGCTGGGTGGCATTATCAAATTGCCTAAAAACATAAATTTTATTCAAAAATTTTTGACTTCAGACTTACATAACTAATATTCAAGTACCCATCTCTGTAGGTGCACATCAAAAGTATGTAAAAATACATTAAAAAGCAAAAATTAACTTGGTGGAAAAAATATCATAGTAGGGCAGCGGTATAAAATATATATACCAGCTCTCAGAATTGAGGATTTCACTCTAGATTTTTTTAAAGTCTTAATTTTATGTTCTTAGGGTCATGCAAAATTTTACCATAATTTAGATTCTTTTATATACAGCCGCTAAAAGTGTTAATGTAGATATACGAGGCATGTTTTTTAAGTAGATACCATTTGGAAATAAAAAAAGAAACAATTAGATATTTCTTACTAGTTTTATTTTTATATGGAATCCTGTACCTAAGTTTATTTTTCTACATAATGTTAAAGCACATTTCACATACATGGACAGCGATTTTCCTTCTTCAGTTACCCAAGTCATTCAAGGACTGAATATATGTAATATTCTAAAAAGGATAGCAAATCTTTCTACGTATTGGATAACAACTGTTGTAAAGCAAGAGCATCACTCAGAAGGAATGTAAGCAGAAACTGCCTGAAATAACATATATCCTGAGAGAAAAAATAGAGAGGATTGCTTTTGAAATTACCTTATATTTGTAAATTTTAAGCTTTTTTTTTTTTTTTTTTTTTTTTTGATGGCCATTATCTGCTCTAAAAGTAGCAAGCCATGATAGCAATTGACAGAAATAGAATTTTTTGCAATTTTGTTTGCTACTATGATGATAATTCTACGATGGACAGTGTGAAATAGATATTATTATACATATATAGAAATGTGTCATTGCATGATTTTTATTTCAAAAAGCAATTATATTTAAAAAATAAACAACTGTTTGTTGCAAACAAGTAGTATTTCAGAGAGCAAAGGGCAGCAGGTAGCAGCAGTTAGGGTGTTGGAGAGCGGCAGTTTGGCCATGCCTAGTATAGAGGGTGATCAAGTTGTTCTTACTGAAATGGCACAATGAGATTGAGTTAATTTAGCTGCATGTGGATGGGCATTGTCATGAAGGAAAATAATCCTTGGCTCAGCATGCCATGCCTTTTGTTTTGGATTGCACAGTGCAGTTTAAGGTCTCACAATACATCAGAGAATTTATTGCGTCACCATGAGGCAAAAAAAGCGACAACCCGTTCCTGTCCCCAAACTCAGTACACATGATTTTCTTGGCTGAAATGGAACTTGCTTGATCTTAAGTTTCTTGGATTGTGATGGATGCTGCCATTCCATAGATTGCGGCTTTCATTTTGTTGTAGCATAAGCACCTAAGTTTTGTTGCTTGTGACTGTTTTTTTTAAAACGTCATTGCCTTCCTCACTGTACCACTGAAGCAAAGTTAAGGCATGACTTAAAATTTTGGTTTTGTGCACCTCTGTCAACATTTTCAATACCCTGTGTTTTCACAATTTTCAATAATTTGAGCATTCATTTACAGTTTTATGCAGAACATTGCATGAAACCCCAAGAAAGTCATCAGGTAATGACAAAATCATAAAGCATCTGTTCTGTTTCTCTTATTCGTCAAGTTTCTGTACCAAATCTTCAGTAATGACAGGTTGCCCACTTCATCACCATGAACATTCATCTGGCCATCTTTAAAATCTGGATCCCATTTCCATACCATTCTATCGCTCATAATGTTTTCTCTATACACTGCACTAATCGGATGACTTTCAGTCACTTTCACATCTGGGATTAAGAAAACAAATCACCAGTCTTATTCCACGTTTAGTAGAATTCTCAGACTGCAGAGCTATTTTAAGTACTAAAAACAAATGTTAGCACGGTCGAAAGTTTCCGTAATGGTGCCTGTGACCTGCCAACTGGTGTAGGCGAACAGCACACATTTGCCAAATGCTGATTGTAGTGGCATTTCAAAACGGTACTTACGTCAAAAACATGTACCATAATTTTTAATGCAAATAATATTACAATGCTAATAATGAAGCCTGTCTCTTTTTTCTAGAACACAAATTGTATAAAATTCTGTGTATACAATCTTATTTTTGAAAAAAAAAAAAAGTATTGCTTAACACTTTTCACAATAGTCTGCATAGAAATGCTAGTTACTCAACCTATTACCATCAGAAATATTTTTTTTTAAACTGATAATTTTATGTTTAGTTACAAATAGAAAATTTTCAGTCTTTAAGTTGTATACAACCTCTAAATGTGATTTTCTTCTTTAAAATGAAAGCCAGTTTTTCATACTTTTGGAATTTCATTTTTTATAGTTAGCATAAAAATTTTCCTAAATATAAAGGACTGGGACATGAATAAAGTTCGATTTTTTTTAAAATTAAAAAAAATGCCAAGACATTATTTTTTGCATAATTTAAAACAATTCTATAATTGGAAAATATGTGTTTATGATCGACAGCTGCGAACATGAAGGCCATTGAAGGACTTTTGTGGACACATTGTATAATATGTTATAAAAAGGAAGTGCCTGTAGGCTTTGATTTCATGAAAGGTTGATCCTAAACAAGTACTTCCAATTGAAACAGAATTTAATGAAAAAGCAGTTTCAGCCCTGCAGATAAGAGAGTTCTAGTGATGTGAATACCGATTTTTAGGTAGTTCTCATAGAGTAAAATTCCAAGAAAAGAGTATTTTTTGTTTTAACAAATTAAAGTTTGATGCTTTATAAGCTGAATTTGTAGGTATACTTAGCTGATAGTTTTGTATGGCCAGTTCCAAATTTAATGCATGCTGTTTTATCCAAGGCAAAAACATTTACTCTAGAAATTATGATTTTAATTTTATAATTGCTTCTTTAATCTGACATAGAAGTATCTAATTTTGATCATAATAGGCATTGAAAAGTGATCCAAGTCAATAAATTTGTTATGTTTTGTGACTTGAATATGTGTTTGAATTTTTCATGTAAAGGTACAAAACATTTTAAGTTATTAAAATATTTCACTCTATAGAATTTCAGTTCTGCATTAACCATGTAAAAGTAGATGTTTTTTTTACAGGATTCTTATTTACATATAGCTGAAAATCTCTTATAAAATTATGTAATTTATTTTGAGGATAATGTAATTGGAAGTAGATGCCTCAAATCAGCATAAAAGGAATGAGTGTAGCTAGCTTTTTCAAAAACCCTCATGAAATAAACACTAATATCAAAATTCCTTTATAATTATGCTTGTAAGATTGTTGATGTGATTAAATTTGCTTAATTCAGACAATATTTATGAGAAATAAAAAATTCAATAAATTCATGTATTTTATTCATTTTTTAATCTATCATTCCAGGAACAAATTTTTATGTTTAATGCTTCCTTTCAAAACTCTGCAAAACAGTAGTATGTGACAGTTGTGGGGTTCCTTTCCCTCATATTGTTTGCTAGTCCTTACACAAGTGGTTTCCTTTGAATTGTAATTGCTTTCATTTTTCTGGCAAGTTTCCCCATGTGGTGTACCTAATCTAAATTAAATAGCTGAATTTGATGATCAAAATTATACCTTTCCTCTAAAATTTCATTTGCACAACTATTCACATTCGAAACCTAATTGGCCTTACATAATTACTTATGTGTTTTTAGAGGGCCCTTGTTGAGATTTATATTATTGTTTGCTATTTGGAAAATGAACATTCCTTGAATTCCATAAAACCTCAACTACACAGTATGGTGGGCCCATTTTCTGGCCTCAATAGAAGCAACTGTTGTCATTATTAAAATAAAAATTAGTTTTTGTTTCTATTTGAAGGAAATGCGCTTCTTTGTGTGAATGCATGTGGAGCCTCTGAAACAAAGATAATAATTAATTTGACATTGTTACATATTAGTCATCTGAGGTAACATTGTTATATATTGGCCATTTTTAAATGCCTTTATCTTGTCCCGTATAAGAATATTCTTAATTTCAGTCTAAGTATAGTCTCTGAAAAGATTTTAAACTTTGTCATTTAACATTAGTTCTTTGTTCACTAAAATAATAAATTAAGAAATATATTTCTTGTGTTTAGGAAGCTTAGACATCTATTGTCCTGTAATGTGAAAGTTCTCTTTCATTTAGTGCAAACATTTTGTTAATTCAACTAACTACTTTTGGTAACTTAATATAAGAAGCTGTGAGAAAAGTTCTTTTGATTGCTCACAATTAGGTATGTAACAAAAGTCAATGCAGTGAATGCTATCTTCAGTATTGTATGAAAATAATGGTAAAATATTGAATTCAGTTAACAGTAAATACACAAAACATATCTGAAATTTTTTGCTATTGTGTTTGTTGCAAAATTGTTTTGATTGCTTATCTGTTTTGTATATTTATACAGTTTTATACATTTTACATTCATTTATTAAAGTATTTACTTGTTATTTTTATATGCACATTTAAAAGGCAATTTCTAATGTATTTTAAATTAATAATACTAGATCTTTTCATCTATTTTATTGTTAGGTTTTTACCATGTGTGATATTTTAGGAAATTTTTTAATTTTAAGACTGCCTGTTTGAGGTTGTGCTTTTAACTGCTAATTTTTAAAATTTTTATTTAAAGCTTTCCATTTTCTGTTTTTAAGGTTTCAAACATGGCTTTAAAGGAATGGTTGGAATTGATTTCCTCTTGTTACTGTGTCCTCGAAGATGGCTCTGGGCCAATCCGTTTACATCCTTGTATTTTATTAATCCAGCGTTATTTTGGTTTGCAGTATTCCTCTGTAACACATTTCCTGCTGTTAACTTTTTGTATAATAAGGGCTGCTTTTCTTGTGGCATATTGTATGCACTATGTTTAATTTTTAAACATAAACTACTTATTCAAGTTTTGGTATTTATCAACACTTTCTACACACTTTCTTGCTTAATTTATAAAACACTTTGAAAAAGCATCTAAATCTAGATAAATATCTATTTTTCGAGTTTTTGAAAGGATGAGGAGAAGGATCTAGCAATCGTGAAAGGGGTGCATGAGGCGAAAAAGAGTGAGATTCCCTGAATTAATTGTTATTATCTATTTATCACACTTATTTTTGCTGTAGAATTATGGCACAGTTTCATGTTTTATGCTCTCCATGTAGCAGGAAGATATATGATTTAATTTTATTTTTTTACTAAAAAATTTTTGCTTTTAGTACATTGTTAATTGCAGCAGTTTTAAGTGCACATTTAATGGGACTTTTTTACTTTTATAATTTTTCATTTGAATCTCTCTCTCTCTCTCTCTATATATATATCAGATAGAAATATTTCAGGAAGATATGTGGTGTTGACCATGATCTTTTGATGATTATTCACCATGGTTTATTGTCTTTGTCTTCAGAATGAAAACTTTTACAGACATCACAAAAGGCAACTGTATTGATATTGAAGAATTTCTGAAAACACTAACTGTATTTATGAAAGCTGGTAAAACGTATATTTAAAATCACCAATGCAGGACCTTTTTAGAGAAACTGGTGAATAGAGTCTCTAAAGGTCAAAACTGGGAGATTTGTAATAAATACTGTAAAAATAGACTTACTGTAACTTTGAAGGTAATTTAATTTCTGATCACAAAGGTAATTTTGCCATGGAAAGCTACATATTAATAATCCATAAGTAATAAAAACATAGATTTTATGAACCAGCTATCAGTTTTGCATAAGCTCATAATTAGTAGACTTCATGAACTGAGAAACAAATATGTGTGCTGTGATTTTTGTTCAAGATATGTTGTACCGTAATATTGTGAATGAAATTGTAGAGTTAATGTTGTAATTATTTTCCCCTAGGTATCTGACAAAAAAGAAATAGAAGATTCAGAAGAAGTTAAGCAATATGGAGAAGCAGTGACTCAGCTCGTTAATGAAGGAGAAAATGATTTCACTATTCATAAATACAGGGAATCTGTACTGAAGGCATTAAATGTTGAAAATGTTAAAGATGCTTAAGGGACTACATGTATATAATTTAAAACTAATAAATCTTTCAGTTTCCCTTGTGTTAATTAAGTTGTGTAAAAATCCATGCATTTAATTATCAGGTAACTGTTATTGATGTTACAATATTATTTCAATAATGTAAATAAATGCATAAATTGTTTTAGGATAATAAGCAGGAGATCTGATATATATTTATTTTCTTAGTTTGTATAGTATGTTGAGGGAAATCATACACTTAACAGGTAATCAGTAGCCCTGTCTACCACTTGCTTGTCTATTAATAATTGCTATACCTACCATTTAATTAACTGTCAGTATCATATGTAAATAATGGCACCAAGTCAAGAGTTTTGAATCTAAGTTTAGTATTTTTTTGCTGTTGAAGTAGCTTAATCCTACTAAGTTAAATGAATTGGTTCTTCTCTTTAAGAAAGTCTAAGATCGGATCATTGAATTTAGACAGAGGGGCTACCTTCTAGTGTATGTGTTTCTGTATTGTGATTGCCTTGTCAATGACACCTGCAGCATTCTTTTCCCAGTCTTTCATAATCGTAGCTCTGTTCTCCTCCAAGGCTGGGGGAGATCTCTTTTGAGCTTCATCTTGATTCTTCTAGGTAAGCACTTACGCATATGAATAACATATTATAATATTCAATGCAAAGTGATCTGATGATTACTACATGCTGACAAAATGAATTGTTAGTATATGCATAGTTGCCAACTCTCCCGATTTTCGACCGCTCTCCCGCCAACCCGATTTACAATATATTTCTCCCGACTTTTTCTTATTCTTAATATTTCTCACGATTTTTATTTAACTTGGCTCAATACTTCGTTATATGAACAAAAAAAAAAACAAAAAAAAAAAAAGATTTTGGACGTCTGAAAGCAACTGAATTTTCTCTAGATTATATCTAAAATAAAACCTTGCGAATCAGATGAGAATTTCTGCTTTGTGAGTGACAGCATTTACGTATCCAGAAACGTAGTTCACCAGTTCTCCTAGTGGCATCAAAGCTCCACTGCGTGTCATCTGGCTATATATTAGCCAATGAGCACAAAGCAAGCTTCAAGGCCGTTGGGCCGTTATTTGGATGTTCTTTCGTTATTTCGTTCATCTTGTCCTGAGTTTTATGTGAGTACACGTGCCTTTGGGAAATAGTTTTTAAGAATTATCGTCTTTTGTTCATGTCTGCGAGAAAGGTGAAATACTCGTGCACGTTTCGAAAATCGTACACATTTGACTTTCCTTCCATTACTTCCTCAAGGAAATGTAATAAATTTGTGCGATGTGTACCATCTGTCGTTGCGATTTTTCGATTTCGCATGGTGGAAGGATGCAGATGTTCTCAAACATGTGCGTACACAAAAACACAAGGAACAACATAAAGTTGTTTTGAAAAAAACGAAAAATTAAATTTTTCTTTGGAAACAGAGGACCAAAAAGTTATTAATGCAGAATGTCTGTTCTCTGCCTTTTTTACTGGAGCACAACCTGCCACTGAATGCATCGGATCACGCTGCAGCTTTATTTAGAAAAATGTTTCCCGATAGTGAAATCGCTAAGAAATACTCAAGTGCAAGAACCAAAACAGGTGCAATTGTTAAAGAAATGGGTTTGAAAAATAAATCTTCAGTTATTGATTGCATTAAAACAGCTCCGTTCTGCCTCTCTACGGATGGAAGCAATAATACCGATTCAAAACCGTATCCAATTTTTGTTTCTTTTTTTAATCCAGAGTCTTCAGAAATTGAGTGCAGTTTACTTTCTGTCCCCACTTTAGAAGGACATTCGACAGGCTTTAATATAGCACAGCTAATTATTAAAATTTTAAAAGAAAATGCAGTCCCTCTGGATAATTGCTTAGCACTTGGTGCCGATAATGCACCAGTAATAGTAGGCTTGAAGACTGGTGTTGCAGGCATCTTAAGAAAGGCAAATTCAGATTTGCAGATAATGAGGTGCACCTGTCACCTCTTAAATTTAGCAGCTGAAAAAGGGGCAGCTTCTTTACCATTAAATGTGGATGAACACATTGTTGATATTTATTATTATCTTGAAAGAAGTTCTAAAAGAAAGGAAAAATTGAAACAGTTCCAACAGCTGCATAATACTGAAATAAGAAAAATTTTGAAACATGTGTGTACACGCTGGCTGTCTTTAAAGAAATGCTTATCTAGAATCCTTGATCAATGGAACCCACTTCTTGCATTTTTTAAAGAAGAAGTAAATGCTTCAAGAGTTAAGATAAAAGGCTCTATTGAAAGTTATAAAGTACCTAAAGTAAATGGAGATGTAGTTACTACTTCCATTGTTAAAAATAGGTTTGAGAAAAATAAAGTAATTTCTGCATCATTCAGCAATTCAACTGGCAGTTCTCAAAATAATACTGCAAAATATAAGCGTAAAGCTGATACAAAATTTCTCTCAAAATAAAAAAATTGCTCAACACACGAAACATTTTCCGATTACTGTAAGTTTATCTTGTGAAGAATGAATATTTATGTTTTTCTTCAGACCTTAACAAAGCTTTTTGCTTTTTTTTTACAATTCATTTTGCCATCATTCGATGTTCTTAACGCAATTCTACAAAGCAGAATTCCATTAATTCATGTTTTGCAATCAATGATTTATGATCTGTTTAAAGACATTTTATCAAAGTTTGTAAAACCAGTCCGTGTTTTGTCTTGTAATTCTATATACCTGCCACTGAATGCATCGGATCACGCTGCAGCTTTATTTAGAAAAATGTGATTTATGGTGAAACAGAAAATCAGAAGAAAGATGAAGATTTGGTAATAGGAGCTGCAACTACAAAAGTAGTGGAAGAACTTTCAGAAGAAGACAAAAATAAGTTTTATCTTCATGTTAGAAGTTACTTCTGTCGAGTATGTGATTACATACTACATAAATTCCCAGTCAACGATGAAGTGATTTTGCATGCTAAAGTTGCTGATGTTTCTGCTCTAGCAAATGCATCTTTTTCTGATATAAAGTACTTTTTGAACAGATTTCCTGTGTTACTTCGTTTAGTCATGAAAGATGACGATATTGATGTTGCTACTGATATACTGCAGTCGCAATTTTGCAGTTTACAATTAGAAAACTTGGATGAAGTTATAAAATCAGCTAGGATTGACACCCAGTGGAGTTTAATTGGAAAATTGAAAGGTGCTGATGGAATTTTAAAATATAGTGAACTCTCTAGAATTATGTTGGCCATCTTGACAGTTCCCCATAGTAATGCGGAGTGCGAGAGGATTTTCAGTGTTGTTGCGAAAACGAGGATTAAATTTAGATCTTTTATTAGCAAAAGCAGGCCTACATGGCAATTGCTATGAACAAAATTGTGAAGTTTCTTTCTTAACGAAAGCAAAATCTGCCACTGTCCATAACATTTGTATGAAAACTGTTTAAAGTGTCTTTTTTTTTTTTTTTTAAACGATGCAAGTAATAAAAATGTTTTTTATGTCTAAGGTATTTTTGTTTTGCTTGCATTTAAGACTTAGTAACTATTTAAAGTTAATTCATCATTAAAAACTATATTTTTATCATTTAAAAAGTATTTTGAACATTGTGAAAAATCTCCTGATTTCTTAAAAAAATCTCCTGATTTTTGAGTGTCATAGGTTGGCAAGTATGTATATGTTTTCAAAATTATAGTAGTAGCCATATAATATGCATAAGCTATGTTCTTCACTTCTAGCAAAATTGCCATCAATATAATTTTTTTATCAATTATTTGTACTCATTTTCCGGTTTTCTTTCATTTTCATCTGTTGTTGCACTGTATAGTATTCTCACCTTCACATTCTTTGGCATTGTTTATGCTTATGGCAGGTTTTTAGACAAAGATGGCATATGTTTGCTTTCAAAATGCATCTCTTTAAAGCCTAATCTTTATATAATGGTTAACAGTAAAATTATCTTATTTAGGATCAAAAGCATAGTTAAAAAAAGAACAGATATATATTGATTGACATTCCTGTTGTTGTGTTTAAGTGAGGAAGTGAGGTGTTTGCATTAAGGTATCATAAAAAAACAAAATTATCAAAATAAGTCTTGTTTAAAGAAAAGTAAACTTTTAAGAAACTTAAGAACCAAACAACATAAAGAAAAGTAAATTTTTCTTTATAGCTGTTTGGAATATATATATATATTATTTTTCATTGGAAGGTTTTTGGTACTCCTGTAAGTGGTTGACCATGTCAGTGCAGCTCAATTACAACTTCCTTAAATTAATTTAGCTCTTAAATAAATTGCAAAAACAATGTTGTTATTTAAACTTTTTATTAAAGATTAATTTTTCCCCAGGGACACTTGCATTGTTAACTTTCATAATGTTACATTTAAAACATTAAAACCTTTTTTTAAACATTTAAATATTCAACATTAAATATAGCATTTAAAACATATTTGTAATGTTACAGATTCTTCATGTTTTTAATTAAATTTTAACTTTTTAATTCTTTAGTGTATAAAAATGTAAACATTTACTTTTATGCAAGTGTATGCAACACCAGGTCTCCTGCCTTCCCTTTCCCCGCATGGTCAGTTCCAGCCGGTACCAGACATTCAACCTCCAGGTAAGGTGCCGCCGTCCACTCTTAAGGTCAAATGCTAGGTCTCCTCTCGCCTCGGTCGGTTCTGGACATTTGTCCTCGGGGTGCGAACGCCACCCGCCGTGCAGTGGGGCAATACCATTTTTGTCTATGAGGATGTTGTGGTGTCCCCAGCACTTTTTTCCTGTCCTGTCCGTATAATTGCTTGTTATTATAAGTCGCCTATCATTCTCACATGTAACCAAATTTAGTTTTGTAAGTAATTGGTTTCGCTGCAGGGTTAAGTAGAACTTTTGTAGAGGGTCTAGTGACTCTGTGTCTGGTTAAGCCGAAGAGATAAGTTGATCCCTCAGACTTAAAGAAGCAGTTTTTTTTAGATATATTTCTTAGAGGAAGACTCAGTGAACTGTAGTTAAATAGCATGAGAGTTTCCTATAAAGAATTTGTTTGTCTAAGAATAGTTTTCTAATCTCCTCCACAAATTTGAAACCGTTGGCATGGT